TACCTTAAACTAATGACCTAGTTTAAGAGTTGGTTAGAAGTACCTTGAACTAGTAATAGTTTAAGAGTTGGTAATCATCAAAGGTTTGGCCTTAGACTAAGCTTAGTTAAGGATATTGTTGAGTATTGAATGTTGAATATTGAAAAATTGAAAATATCATGAATGAATTATATATTGTGTGCATGATATCAAATGGTTGTTTGTGAATTGAGATTCAATTTATGTGGATGTTCGACGCTTTAGATATGCTTACTCAGCTTCATCGCTGAGCGTGTAGTATGTTTTATTTGCTACACGCAGGTAGACTGAATGAATGATTGGCTTGTTCCTGGCAGCAGAAGGGGCGAGATTGTCGTGGTGGAATTTGTGATTTTAAAATAAATAATTGTGTTGTTATTAAACATGGTTTAAATTGCTTCCGCATTATTGTTAAACACTCTGCATTTTGCTACAATTATGTATTAAATAATATTTATGATGAATAAAAGTATTTGAAATGTTTTAAATTTATGATTACCAAGTTAATACTTTAGTATGAAAGGGGCTGCAGACCTGGATGGATTAGGGTGTTATAATTTGGTGTCAGAGCAAATGGTTTTAAAACCGATCTTCGGATCAAAAGTTTGTTTAAAAAAAAAATTATATATATATATAATGTATATATGTTCGGCCAAAAATAATAATAATAATAATAATAGTAACAATAATAATAATAATGATGATGATAATGTCAATTAAATCCACGACTCTCGCATCCCTCTGCTCTAGGAAGGTAATAAAAAAATTAAGTATTTGACTGTAGTAAATCTTTATAGATGTCAACTGTTAATTCGGAAATGATATCAAGTGTTGATTCAAGTCGCACTTTCGTACTTGGTAAAAGACGAAAGAACAAACGAAATGTCTATGACTCGCTGATACGTTACAAATGTGCACATCGCTTCGCGAGAATAATGAAACGAAGGATTTATTTGCGCCGTAAGGCTGCATGGGAACGAGACGACCCGGAAGAGACGTTCAGCGTAGACTCTGCCAACAGCGTATGTGGATCAGGCATAGAAGAACCAGCTGTAGATTCGTCACGATCCAACCAATTGAACGCAAACGTTTAGAAACTATCTTGTTAATCGTTTCAAATCGATTGATTGTATCGACTATTGTAATCCTTTGCAATTCCTGTCTTAAACGCAACTACTGAATAAAAGAATCCTAATAAAGGAATTTCTGTTATTGTAGAATGAGTCAAGAATCTGCCCATGGACAAGGCAAGAACAATGAACACGTCAGTGTTCATACTGAAGCATCTAGTTTCACCCCTCCCATCCAAAATGAACCTGTCAATCAACAAAATGTTGGGAATAACCCGAACGCTGGTGGTCAACCCGACCTTGTGATCCCAACTTTTCTGGCCAATGTGTTACAACAAATAGCCAACGCGCCGATGTTTCAACCACCTCCACCACCGCCACCTCGAGTGATAACCTACAAAACGCTAAGGGATAACGGTGCAGAATTATTCCTTGGGGATCGCATCGGTGAACCCCAAATTGCATGGGACTGGATCGAGCAGACTGCTCGAGTGTTGAAGGATCTCAACGTACCTATAGACAACTACCCTCGACTGTCTTCTCAACTGCTGCGCAATGAAGCCTACGAGTGGTGGAAGAGAACCGATGAGAGTGCGGGAACCCCTAAGCCGTGGACTTGGGCACATTTCGAATGGGCATTCAAGCAAGAATATATTCCGAAACGTTTTAGTGAGGAAAAACGTAAGAAATTTGTGGAGCTGGAACAGGGAAACATGGCACTCCCTGAATATCGTCAGAAGTTTACCAAGCTTGCAAAGTTTGCGCCAACCTTGGTGAGTACCCCAACCGATCGCATTGAAGAATTCAGGACGAAACTTCGACCTGACCTGAGGTCACGTGTGTCCGTCTTAACCACTGTGGACTTCGCAGAGGCCTACGAGATCATAGCCAGGGCGGATAGTGACCTGAATGCTTGCATAGAATACCTAAAGGCAAACAATGCTGGCCCAAACACTTACCATCCCACTAATTCTGCCTCAAAAGGAAAAAGGCCATTCCAGGAATCTAGTAACTCACATTTCTCTAAAAAGGGAAAATTTGTGCAAACTCAATCGATGGCATCCGTTGATAGATCCAGGAAGCGAAAGTATCCTGCTTGCGAACACTGTGGAAGGAACCACCCTGGAGAGTGTTGGCTGAAACAAGGGTTGTGCCTTGGCTGTGGAAAACCAGGACATTTCAAAAAGGAGTGCCCTACAAACCCTGGAGAACCATTTCCATCTGCTCCTGTTGCTAGCCAGTCTCCATCAGCACGACCCGCACCAAGTCAACGCTCAACAGCGGGGTCTAAGCCAGCCAAGAATAAGAACCAACAACAAGGACGAACTCTTGCTCGTACATATGCAATGAAGGCACGAACTGAGGAAAACCCTGACGTCATTCAGGGTATGGTTTCCTTATTTGATACTGTCATGCATGTGTTGATAGACCTTGGATCAACGTTGTCTTATATCTGTGTACATATGCCTGAAAAAGCTGACATAATGAAAGAACAATTGGAACAACCTATACTAGTGTCTAACCCGTTAGGACATAGTATGAGGTTAGATCATGTGTATCAAGACTGTCCATTGATTGTTGAAGGACATCAGTTCTCTGCCAATCTTGTCGAATTACCGTACAAAGAATTTGACATCATCCTTGGAATGGATTGGCTCACCGAACACCAAGCAATTATCGATTGCCGACGACGAGCAATTCAACTAAAGTCTGGAGAGGGAAAG